TTCTGCCTGGCAAACCACGTCGATTGACGGAAAGCCGACGCTTAAATGGACGTCGCCCTTTGGTCTAGTTATGGACCTTTGACTTTGCGATGAGATTGGCCGATGGACTCCTGAGTGCGTTAGGCAGATCCCTAAAACCGATCATAGAGCAGAGATTCGTGTATGAAGCTACACTACTGAGTCTTGTCCGAGCTTGACGATGCGTAGCTGCGTCACTAATCAGCTTGCGATGTAGATGTGGTGCGCTTGGAGATCAAGAATGTGAATGTGAATGTGAATGTGAATTTGAATAAAGCACACTTGATTGTGAGCAACTTACGACTGCTACTCGTGACTGCTGTGCCAGAAGTCTTCACACGAATCCTGCTGATCTGCGCCCGTGCACGCATACAATCGCTAAATTGAATCTGAAGTCTAACTGTGAATTTCAATGTGGAGTCAAAAGTCGCGCTGCGCCTTGACGCTCGCTGCGGCTGAAAGAGAGAGATCGAGAGACCTTTCAAAACGCACCCAATCGTGAATCCGAACCTTGGATCACCATCAGTCGTGAGTGCGCGCGCACACGCAACATCACCACAATCACCAATCACGAATGCGCGCCTGCGCCTGCGCCTGCCCAAACACTCGCCACTCGCCACTCCTCCTCACGAAGCTCCAAATACAAACTTTGCCCACCCGCGCACCGATCAAAGCCACTCATGAAATCTCTTGCAAGCGTCTTAGCGCTCACACTCAAAGACTCAAAAGACTTTTTGACTCTTGACTCTTGACTCTGACTCTTGACTCGACTCCAGACTCAACACACGTGACGCGCTTCCACGAGTGCCAACTCGTGCGTGACTCAAGACTTGCCGCTCCAGAACTTGGCGCTCGCCCGTGATTCCAGCCAATGACAATTTCCGCTTCCTTCGCAAAGACTGGCCGATCGAGCTCTGTCCTCAAACTCCAATCCGCCTCTACGCGAGGACTCTGCTGAAATTCAGACCCTCTGCGCTCCCCTCCACCCGCCAACGTCCACCACTGAACGAGCCAGCTTTGATTGCATTTTCCCCCTCCAACTCATCCTAACCGCCGTCGGAAACACCTCGATGCAGACGTCTTTGTGCAGCATGCCAGGAATTTCACAGTCAAGCCTTCTTGTATGATGGAGTGAGACGTGCCCATGCAAGTAGATGGACATCGTCTTGCTGCCTCTCGAGTCTCAGTCCACCTCATGAGCGCTCCGAGCTGCAGCATCGCGAAACATAAATCGGACTGATTACCAGATCAGAGAATGAGGCGTTCGTTCGGTGCGAGTGGGGCGAGCCGCGCAACTTATCGCTTCTCCGGCCCCAAGGTGGCAACGCGAACCTGATCCAATGATCTGCGAGCTGTCAAGCTTGAGAAAGCGTCTACTAAAGCGCGTGCGGCGTTCGCAGCTCGATCTGTTGGCTTCCATTCGCGTCAAGAGACACGCGTGCTTTGAAAGTTGTTGTGAGCGGCACTAGGCGAGCCGAGGCCCAGAGACGAGGATACATGGTGTTTGCAAAGGGGATGGGAAGCTGGATGCGGGGCGTACTTGGTTGAAATTCTGATCTTGGACTCGTACTTGGCCATGATCCTGATATTGAACATCGATTCGCCAAGACTTTGAGGACAATACGACGCGAGGTCGGGAACTGCGCTCAGTGCTGTGTTCTATGTAGCAGCTTTCTGCCGCTCGTCTGCAGCGCGCTGTGACGATGGCGTGGGCGGTCGCGAAGCCAAGAGCAAATCACATGGCGTACCTGTGCCACGAAGGTGCGCATAGTGAGCACGAGAAAGGCCGCCGGTCACCTTGACCAAAAAATCCCTCTCAACCACTCACTTTCGAGTCCACTCCCTTGCCGTGCTCTCGTAACGAGGTCTGTCCGTCTTGTACAAGTGCGCGATCTCTGGCACCAACGGGTCGTCGGGATTCGGGTCTATAGCAAAGGGGAGCTTTTGAGTCAGTGACATCGCTGATCCAGATAGCTTCAGACGAGCCCTTATTTCGCCCTCACCAGTGAGCATAGAGCAGATGGACAAGAGGACTTTGAACGAAGGCGAGGGAGCAGAGGAGCATACTGTCAGCCCTTATTTATGTGGACTTTAGGCCACGACAATGACCAAGTTCAAAAGCGACCTATTCGGAGGCTGCGTCGCAAGTTGCTGCTTGGCTGCCTTGAGGAGGGATGCCTCGCGCCACCAACGACCCATCGCTACCGCCATTCTTGTGCCTCCACGGCCCGCAGCTTACCCTTGGAAATCGTCAAAGCCGGGCTCCACTGGTCACGCAGAATGTCGAGACAGATCGAACCGTTGGAGTTGATGTTTGGGTGGTAGATCTTGGTGGAGAAAGAAACCTTGGGAGGCTTGAAAGGGTAGTCGGTAGGCTGAAAGGCGAAGCAGTGGAGATGTGACAAGAGTGTGAGCGAAAGCGGAAGGCTAGATTGATGCGGTCTAAGGGCAGGCGTGACCGATCCAGGAAGCGCGTGGCGGATACTTACGAAAGTAATGCTCAAGAAGAAGACTCCGCCAGAGTATGGAGAATCACCCTGCGACAGAAGAGCGACGAAGTCGATGGATTAGCAATGGGCCATGGGAGCCCCAACGCGCCCCATCGATACTTGACGCACCGGCCCCATGATAGTGGCTTGCCACTGCGTGAATGCATACGCGTGTCAGCAGAGTGATTCGGGTCAGACTTCGAGAGGATGGAGTGGCAGCTCGATGACTCACCTGGAACATGTTGTCGCCCGTAGGGCCTGCGCTGCAAGAAGAGGGAGGGTCGCGACCGAGGTCCACGAGCTCCTGTAGAGATCGTAGAGAGCAGCACGCGATGAGTAGGGTGTGGACGAGGGACGTGCGACGAAGATCACCCACCTTGTTGATGCGTTTGAGAGCCATTGTCTGGAGGGCAGCAAAGGAGGTGCATGCAGAGGATATCAGCGTGGGATTCCAGAGCGTAGAGTCACGAGCTCAAGTGAGAAGCCCATACAGGCACTTCTGGCAGTCTGGGCTTTTGCGGGATCGCTGTCTCCATCTGTGGCGGCAAATCCACCACAGCCAATTGAAAGATACCCACGAAGTAAGGCTACGAGACGGAATTCAAGGTGTTGTAACCAAGAGGGAGTCTCGAGGATGTATTCTTGAGAGTGTCGAACACAGCAAGTATGCGTGTCAAAGCCTCGCCAATGTAGCCTTTGATTGAAAGATGCCGTGATGAGTGTACAAGATGCGACGTTAGGAATCGTTGCTTGCCAAGGGGGTTGTACAGCTGCTAATTGTGGTGGAGGGAGCCGATGTCGACGGGCGGCGCGTACGTCCGTCTAAGCAGCAGCAGCTGCTGCTGCTGATGCGCATGCCTGAACAACGAATCTCCACCCGCACAGGACGAGTATCGATGCGAGTACCACGCGGGCAAGGCTGAAACGATCAAGATGCAACACCGCCGAGATGCACGCAACCGTGGGCGCCGCGCCAAAAGATGGAGTCATTAATCATGTTGATTTAAACGCATGCGCAAGGAACATTTCTGAAAATGGACTCGATTTTGAAAAAAACGGCGTGAAGGCCTAAAGATGAATTAAGAAGTGTGGCTGGGACGTCTTCAAGATTAGAATTGGCATGCCCTTGATTTTTGTGAGGAAGAAGGCTGCTGTAGAACCACGTGGAATTTTGGCCTGCACCGCATCTGTCGTGATCTCACATCATCGTCTCAGGGCGACCGACGCCGCTGAGCGCGACTGATGCGTGATTCTTGATGAAGGCTTGGCACCCGCCATCAGTTTGCATCTCCCCATCGCACCTCCTCCAACCATCAACAGCATCGTTGTGCTCTCTCCCGCTTGCGCCGTTGCGTGCTCGGCTTTCAAATCGCTGCTCGTCGTCGGCTGGAAGTCCCAGCTCAAAGTGATCACTTATCAAGTAGCCAAGCTTCATAGCCAATCAACCCTTTCAGCAGCACAACAGTCACCAAGATTCTGCGCCATGTCGCCAAATACGAATCAAGCAATGCAATTGAATACTAGGTAAGTCGTCAAGACTTACACTTTTCAGTGCCAGCTGTCGCTGCAGATACTCTCCCCTCAGCAGCGCACCGGCTGCGAATGATGACCAATGGTGCTGACTCTCGACCTCTCGCTTCACTTGACCCTCAGTCGCGGCCCCGCCGGCAGCGTTCGCGCCGCTGCCGGAGTGGACGGGGCTCAAGTCGAGCGCGAGCCTCAAGAGTCGCTTCGACAGGCTCGACACGTTTCTGCCAGTCAAGATCAGCAGCACGCCTTGACTGGTGCTTCGACTGCCGGCTTTCAACAATTCGCTCCACCGCGCAGTGTGGTGAGGTGGTGGCTTTGACAGCCTCCCTGCGGGTAAGTCTTGCAATACCCTCGAGCGAGCATTGTTGCTGGTACGTACACGACACTGAGACCTTTTTCTGTGCCTTCGACACAGAAATGCCGGGCTCCATGTGGTCCGGTCGACGCGAGCCTGTGAGAGGGGTAGCGTCGCTTTCGCAGGGAGGAGAATCCCAAACAACAACGAGGAGCAGAGGCGGATCGCTGCAAAACACGGCCTCGATCAGGGACACCCACGGAAACACAGCCGCGAGATCACGCGGCGCCATCAGCAATGGATTGCCCGCTGCTGCTGCTGCAGTGCCGATCGTGCGATACCAGCAAGGTGGAGAACCGAGTTACCTTCCGATATCACCACCCTCCACTCCTCCTTCATCACCTCCTACCGCCTATCAAGACATGCTAGGTCGCGCTCGCCATTTGACTCTTTCTGACAGTGGTCGAGCAGATGACGAGCACCAGATCGAGCTTGATGAGCGGCGACCCACGCAACGAACGGCAGACGCGTCCCAATCGGCAGCGTGCAGCGCTGGGGATGCCTTGCTGAAAGCTGCTGCGGCATCGGTAGCCACATCAAGAGCGAATGTGGACGCTTCGCAAGATGCAAGCAGAACCGGCTCGTCCTCCCAGGCATTCGTCAGGCCTGATGAGATTGGGCTCGACTCCACGCAGTGGAGGGCTGACAAGCACGGCAAACGACCCCAGCAACAGCCACCCCCTACGCAGCCTCTAATGCCCAACACGCCAGAAGCTACACCAACGACAATGTCGCCTGCCGAAGGTTTGCTCCGTCATCAGCCAACTGCAAGTGCGTTTGAGCTGCTGCAGTCAATCTATCCGCTGTTACCTTCCGCATCTTCTTCTCTTGGTGTTGCTCAAGATGCGGGTGTGGAGCTTGTATGCAGCAAATGGAGAGGAGCGGTGTTAGATGAGGATGGAGGAACAGGTACTACATCATCACGATCGCTACACGTCCTCATGCCAAACGACATCAGAGCAGGCGGGCCTCTGCGAGATGAGATCTTAGCCCTGCTGGATCTGGCATCCGAAAGACTGGCGTGTGGAAGGGTGATCATAGCTATGGAGAGGGCCGAAATGGAGGACTTTCCCACCACTCTGCATGGGCTATGCTACGTCGGCGCTCAGGTTGTCTCGGATGCTGGTCACACCCTCTTAGTACCTCGCGATGGCGTCATCTTGGCCGGCATCGACCTGATGTGACAGGAGGGTGTCAGGTGCAACGGCGACTTTGCGCGGCTGTGGACTCCTGCAGCTTCACGACGTTCCGAAGTTCGCGGCGCATTCACCAGCCGATATGTCCGTTGCTTTCTCTTACAACGTAGTGCCGGGCGTCGTCATTGCTTATATCTCTCCTCGTCTTCCTCGGAACCTTTCATGTCCTGAGCTCGGGTGTGTCGATGTGTTCCCGCCGATGCATTATATATACACATCATGACAACCTTTTTTACCGTATCCTGTTCCTGATGTCACCTATTCTTACGACTTGACGAAATTTGTAAATCATACGCTGTTGCCAAATGTCATGGTCCCAGACCTGTCTTTCTGAGGTGTTCTGAGGTGTCTGTCGTGTGCCAGGCTTCGAGTTCTCCATGCGGTCCTGACGCGGGCAGCGCTGTCATTGACGGGCGGGCGACATTAGTGATTTACCATTCGTGATTCGCGTCGCCTTCGCTTTTAAATGCCCGAACTTGCGTCCGTCGAAAAATCGCGCGGTGGATGCAGCCAGCTCTTGTGTTCTCCACCGCAAGCATTCACGATTGAACGACGGTGTTGACTAGGCTGAGCAAAGCTTCACGTGCTCGCGCAAAAGAGTCGGTCAAGAAGATGAGTGATGGACCTTTGCAAGACACGCTTCACCGGCAGCTCCAAGCAGAAGAGATCGACGACGAGACAAGTCACTTGGACTCGGATTCGGATTCCGATTCGGATTCGGATTTGGAAATCTTCTCATCTGGCCTGGATGCGCTCTTCGATCATCATATGCCAGCCAGCGGCACTCCCGGAAGCTGGACATCCTTTTCGCATCCCATTTTACCGCTCGTTCGGCATGGGCAGCCGAGCTCTGCGTCGACGGCTTCGCATCAGGGCAGGGAATCTGAATCGAAATTGCGATATTTGCTGCCACCTAATTCGACGGGCGATACGCAATTGATGGCGCACTATCAATGGGATGCAGGCGTGCTGCTGTCGAGAATCCTCATCGAAAGCTCTGTCCATTCAAATCTGCAAACCAAAGCATCCATCTCTCCAACCTCCAACGCCTCTCCAAGCCGTGCACTTCCACGCTTAAGGGGGGCAAATCTGACCGAACTCTTCAACATGCCAGAAGAAAGAAGAATCTTGGAAGTGGGAGCAGGAGCAGGTCTACCTTCCCTCGTTGCTGCACGTCTCGCTGCAAGTCTTTGCCATTCGGCGAATGTGGGGTGCAGGGCAAGAACAGACGAGATCCATGTGACAGTGACGGACTATCCATCGGCTCCCGTTCTATCTGCTCTGCAAGCGAGCGTCCGAAAAGAAGGCACGCAGATCAAAGTTCGAGGTCTCGAGTGGGGCAACGAAGAGGCAGAATCTCGCTTACTCTCCGAAACTTCCCAAAGAGGTTTCGACGTAATCTTGGCAGCCGACACTCTTTGGTTGACAGATCAGCATCCTTTGCTCCTTCACACCTTTCGACGATTATTGAAACCAGAAAAGAACGCTGTCATCCTCCTCGCTTTCGGCTTTCATACCGGTCCTTTTACCGCTTTGAAATTTTTGGAGCTGGCTGCGGAAGCGGGATTGGTCGTGGGAAGGATGAAGGAAGAAGAACAGGAGAGCAGCAAGGCCGTGGACGAGAGCACGTCATCGCACGACGCCAACGCAATGGCAAAATGGCTCGTCAGACAAACTCGACCTGGGAGTGAAGATGAAGATGACGCCACGCTGTACGATGTAAGGGAATGGAAAGGGGGAGAAGAGGAGACGGACGCGATCCAGCATCGAGGTCATTGGTCAGCCATCGTGTGCTTGCGGTGGTCGGGCGAGGTGCTATCAAGCAATGTGAATCACATTTGAGTGCAAAGCAACATGCACCAAACTTGCGTGCTGAACAGAATCCCAAATCACGCGTTCGCGGCCCGCAAGAAAGGTGGATTCGAAGAGTGTAGTGTGCGGCTGATACAGGCTAAAAGTACAATGAGTCTTGCGTCGCAAGGGACTTTAGGCAAGTGACGAAGGAGAACAATTGCGGCCATATAGTACGATTACAAAGCTTTGGGTTGACGAGATGGAAAAAGAGGTGGTCAAGGATTGTGAATCGCAAGAGCATCAGCCTCTTTGCTATCTACTCCTTCCGTGCCCCATCAGCAACTGCAGAAGCGTGTTGTTGGCTCGCACCAGCGTACCTAGCAATGTCAAGATTGGGAAAGTCGACCTTACCAGCGGTAGAAAGGAGGTCTTCGCCGGCATACATGACTCTAAGTAGCTTCGGAAGCTTAGGCTCAGTGCCTTGCGATTGCGATGCAAGTATGGCAGCATTGAGTTCAGTCGCTGTCCTGAGCCTCTGGGAAGGATGAAGTAGGGCACTAATGTGTTCAGGCGCGCCAAGCAGTTCCGGGCCAGGCAAAGTGGCCGGTAAGCCCGATGAGAGAGGGACAGTCGTCCCTTGCGCTGGCGACTTGTCATGCCCAGCAAAGTTGACCGGCGTAAAGGCTAACAGAGCCATGGTGCGCTCCAGCTCGGGCAACAGGTTGGGATGCTCTTCGCCTCTGGGCGCAAGCTCATCCGACGCAAAGAGAAGTGCCTCTTCAAGTGAGCCGGCTCGAATCAACTCGATGAGCCGTTGTTGCTGGAGATGGAAAAAGAGCACCGGGTGGGTGTCCAAAATCTGAGATCAGAGCAAGAGATCATCAGTCAGCCTTCCGCTCTGACCCTTCGCAGCACTTGCACCGTTCCTCGACGCCCCCTCTCTCCCTCTTTCCGGCCAACATGACTCAGCCTGATTATGTTTTGGTGTGTAATGACTATCCGCAGCAGGCCGCGTACACAACACAGCCCTCAGCGTGGTGCATGAAAATTTGTCATCCTCGACGTTGCCCTTCGTAGCGAGCCCATTGCATGCTCTAATTCAAGAGTCGGCGTCTTCTTCGCGTAGAAAACGATTGCGCGAGACATGCGGCTGCTCACCTCTGGATCTAGCTCGTTCACCCTGCCTATAGCGTCCTCTACATCTCCTCTCTGAATGGCAGCTCTGATCTGCATTCGATTCTCGATGCTATCCAGATCGACATTAGGCTCCAGATTAGCTTCGAGAGCCAGTCGAGCAGCTGCATCCTTATAGCCTTCTATGATGAGGTAATCCAGCACCAGCCTGTTCATGTCCCT